TTTGGATTATTGAAAAAATTACTTTTTCTTTTCTTTTCTTTTTTACTGCATGTGTCCAATGATTACAGATGTAATGTTAAGTGTGTTACAGTCAGATCATCTTAAACGAGCTTAAGAGCAGACACAGTGTTTAAATGTCTTTAAAAGATGCACTCGGGGATTGTTTGGAGGGTGAGAAATGTCTCCGCAGTCCAGTGACTCTGCTCACTGTGCTGTGAGTGTGTGTGTGTCCTTATGCTCAATGTTTACATAGGTGCATGGATAATTCAGAGTGTCCCGACAAAAACAGACTGCCTGGGGACGTATCCTCAGCGGGAGCGCACTGTTCCGGGCCTCGCTATTGGCCAGGAATCACATTCCTCTACATCTTACCATGCTCTCCACAGCCTCTTTCCCAAAGCCTTGGCGACCTCATCGCTGAACTTAACATGCTTTATGGCCCCTCAGTTGCAGTTAAACACGTAGAGATGCTCTTGTCTTTTTTAATCCATACAGCTCACTGCCAAACTGAGAGCTTTGGTGCAGGCAAGGTTTTTTTGGCACAAGCGACAGGCTGGACGAGTTTGTTGAGTCAATGATGATGGAGCAGCCTCTTGGTATTCCAGGGTAGTAACTATGTGACGCCGTTGAGCCCCCTCCTTCAGCTCCACCACTGTACACAATGGCAAACATGATCCAACTGAGTGTAGAGAGAATATCCAAGCAAAAGTGTGTGTTACTTGCATAAGCTGAAACGCTGGGTCCCAAGCAGAGCTGAGAGCTCATTTCAGCTACATAACCAGTGTGTGCACACTTGTGGAGGAGTGTGGGGCCCATGTGTCTGACGAAGAAAGACCCTGAGTTGAAGTCTGTGCTGTGTGTCCTGTGAGACGAGTGTGCAAGAGAGGACACAATACCAGAGTGGGGTGATTGGGGCTCCTTGGAGCTGGCCGGGCCTCTATGGCTGCAAAAGACCTTCACTACGATGGCAACCGGAGGTTCACTGTGTTCCTGAGTGAAAGGACAGCTGGGAGAATTCTCACTGAGCTCAAACAGAAAGGCCTTTGTGGCTCTGGGGACGCAAGGCTGGCTGCAACTAGTCCCCTGTGAAATTGCCTGCACAGCAAAAGCCATTTAATTTCGAGCACGTTTGGCTTGATTAGTTGCTAATGGACTGTTAATTGAAAATAGCAGAACAATGAGAGTTCTCTGGGGTTCCCTCATATGGGATTCTCACATGTGCTCAGTACAGTGGATTTTATACCTAAACTATTGGGAGTTATTTCCAGACATGAAGGGAGGGCAGTGCTTTTGTATGAGTAAACAAATTAGTGACCGTCCTGATCAAGGACAGTAGCTGGAGTCCAGACAGACCACACAGTCTGAGAGAAAGTGCAGATTCTTTATGGTTCATTGTTTTTCTCCAGTCAGATTAGAGAAACGGGTTATTGAGAGTTGTCCGTTATGTAAAACCACTTTGGTGCAAATCACCACATCATAAACATTCACCCTAATAACTCATCCTCTCACTCCTCTTTCAGGCCTCATCCTTCTCTTCTATGCTGCACTTTATGTGTTTCTCGCAGCCATGTTTGGCGGCTGTATGTTCTGCCTCTTGTGGTCTATTAGTCCCTACCACCCAACCTTCAATGATAGAGTGATGCCACCAGGTAAATATAACCCCAAACTCAAACCACTCCATTGCACCACCCTCCACTGTCCTTCTGTCCGTTGCTTCTACTTGAGTCTCAGCACAGTTGACTGTCTCTGCGTCTCCACTGGCAGGTATGACGATGGCCCCACACCTAGAAGGCCACGAGATCGCCTTTAACGCCTCTGATCGCAAATCCTGGAAGAAGTACGCGAGGTCTATGGATGAATATCTAAAATGTGAGTCAGTGGTGATTGTGATGGTTGGGGGGGGACGGTGTTAAAGTTGGGGGATCTGATGAGGTTGTTGAGTTTGTTTAAAGTGTAGCAGGCATGCAATGAGTTAATCCTCATCCTCACTACCTTTGTCCCCTTTTTCCATTTGGTTCTTGCAGGGCATGCTGGGAAGGGAAGCCTCTTTGTGGGCAGAGTGCAGCCATTCAGTGCATTTTTTTTTTCACGCCCCGCTTTTGTAAAGCTTCCTTAATCAGAGGCCTGAGTCTGGCAGGGCATTGCTGTAGCAAGGATTTATTTATGCCTTCCTCTCTCCCTCCCTCTCTGCCTCCTTTCTCTCTGCTCTCCATTTTCAGCGTATAACGATGCCGCTCAGGAGAGGAAGAATATTCGTTGCTCACAGGACAGATACTTCATGCAGGATGACTTGGAGGAGAGCGCGGAGCGGAAAGCGTGTCAGTTCAAGAGGTCCTGGTTGGGGGATTGCTCGGGGCTGCAGGACCCCCACTATGGCTATTCTGTGGGAAAGCCTTGTGTCCTTCTTCGAATGAATCGGGTAAGATGAGTGTCAGTCACCAAAATAATGCACATCAGCACAAAAAACAAAAGAGGAAACATGAAACAGCCGGGACACAGTGTGTTACTGGACTGTTGAAGCTTGCAGGTTTCTCAGTGAGTGACATCTTGTGGCCATTAACGGAGAGAATGAAGACAAGTAGACTACATTAGAGTTACATTGTGGAAAGTGTGGGCGCTTCTTCCGAGAAGTAAACTTTTGCATCTTATTTTTATTATTTATATACAATAAACATTTTCCTGCTGGAGTTCAGTGAATGTGAACAGTGTGTCCACACAATAAAGCTACGAATATTTGAATTGATGCATCCCTTTTGCTTCCATGATGACACATTATTCCTACTATTCTTACTTTTCAATAGATTCTTGGTTACTTACCTGGCCAGGGCAAACCAATAAATGTGACCTGTGGAGTCAAGGTACAGTAACCATCAACACTCTCACACTAATTTGTATCTCAGTGAGAAGCAACAGTAACAAAATCATAATTGTATCGTGCAACCAAGTGTGGATCCGGAAAACATGACTACTACTTCTTTCAGAGAGGACCTCCAGAAGCTTTGGGAGAAGTCCAGTTTTTTCCCAGAAGCATTTTTGACCTGAAGTACTATCCATACTATGGGAAGCTCAGACATGTGAGTGAGAGTTGTCATCCTCGAGGACCACCGCTGTGGCACACACGATTTTATTCTTTATTCTTTATTAAGTCTGAAATAACACCTGTTTCGACCTCAGGTAAACTACTCTGCGCCGGTGGTGGCTGTGCGTTTTGCAGGAGTGCAGATCGACACTCACATCCAAGTTCAATGCAAACTGAACGGAAAGGGAATCATTAACGATTCACCCACTGACCGCTACCTGGGCAGTGTGACCTTCTCCTTGGACGTCGGAGCGTAAAGGCAAAGATACCGCTGACAGCAGGATGCTCCTTTGACAACGAGGCAGGAAAATGTACAAGAAAAAAAAAATGATGTTGAAATATTATTTTCCATGAAATATGTAATTTCCCTCTCCTCTTAAATATCCATGTCTTCTGCTGTGAAACAAATTCCTCAAGAAGTAGATATTTACTCTTGTGTTTCTGTTGTATCTTTGTACCTTGAGCGTGCTACCGGTACCTGCACCCACAACAAACAGTGCTGAGCACAGGATGAGTGGTAGAGTGAGTTACAATTCAATTCCTGACATTTTGTAATGATTAGCAAGATTAATCAAACTAAATTACACTCTGCCCAATAGTTAGAATTTCTGGCTATGCAAATCCAATTATGACTTAAAAACATTAATAGGCAATTAGAAACATTGTTTATCAGGATAGTTTGTGGTTTTGTGTGCACATTTGTGTGATAAAGTGTACTAATTTGTTTTGCATTATATTTTTCAAACATGTATATTGTAAGAATTCAAAGAACTATCATGCAAACACTGAAAGCAGGACTTCTACTGTACTTACACAGTAAAAAGACATAATGACTGCAAATACACTATTACTATATTTTTGTTGAATAGAGCAGTATTATACATTTATGATAAAGCATCACAAGCCACTTCTTGCCTTCTTTTGTAAAAACATTTGCTTTTGAAAATGAAATACTACACAAGACTGATCAATAAAGAGACATATTGTACTGTGAAATAGTTTGTATAAGGTCTGTACCATTTTAAAAGTATAACTATTTTGTGATAGTATTAATCATAACTGAAATGTGCTACTAAACTTGGCATCAATGTTGTATTTATTCCTATTATAGTTCTTATAATAAATACAATGTTCTGGTATGTACTGTAAGTTTTCTTCCACATGGGACTAATAGTCTACATCAACTTAACAAAATAACATCTAAACTTTTTAATTTTCAGTAAAACTCTATAAATAATATGGATGCAGAGTCATGACAATTTAACTCGAGAGGAACAAGAATGTGTACCAAATGTCATGGCGACTCATCCAATAGTTATCACTCAAAAACACAAACGTGAACCTCATGGCGGCACTACAGGAAAAAGGTCAGGAGATCACTAAGGTCATCAGGGTTCATCCTCTGGGCACCATCGATATTTGGACCAAATTTACTGACAGTCCGTCCAACAGTTGTTGAGACATTTCAGTCTGGACTAAAGTGATGGGCTGACAGCATGTTCTTTAACAAAGCTTCATGGTCCTGTCTGTATATATTTTAAGGAAAATAATTGTTTTTAAAGAAGTGATTTTGCAATTATTGTTACTTTGAAACACAAACGTAATTTTAAAAAAGTAATTTAAGTTAACAAAACCAACACAACAAACCACAGGTTGACCGTTTATGTCCACATACTCTCAGTAACAAGTTAAGCTTACATTGACCGGCTTGACCTCTGGGTAAACCTGCATATCTTTCTGAACGCCAGTAATAGCTGGACTGAGAGTCATGCCTCTGAGTACCATTACAGGTTATAAAAAGCACGTCGTCGATCAAAGTCGAACAGTTTGAGCAACCACAGCGGTTTAGTTTCCCCTGTTAACCTTTGAATTCAGTTTTCGTCACAAGACTTGCAGGCTCCTGTTAAAAGAATGACAGTGATACAAAACAAGAACAAAACTTTATTTAACTTGTTCCCCACTTGTGTTTTAAACAAGCTCATCACATCACATTCTTCATCAGATGGAGACAAGCTTCAAGCAAGCATCTCAGAGGTGCACAACAGAAAGGCACAAAACTGATCGAATGTACACAACTGAGGATCAGATAAATGACTTAAGAAATATTACTCATGGTCTTCATTCTTGAACTGCTCTTGTTATGTTACTGCATTATCACATGGAAGGGTAGTGTAGGGATATCACTCTAACCAGGTTTTTAGTTGTTAAATAAAGAACAAACGTATGTACATTCAACCAAGTTTGATTCTGGCCACCAATTTCGGTTTAAACCAGTTATTTGACTCGTTACCCATTCGCCAACATATTTGTTTGACTTGTGAAATAACACAGGGTCAAAAGGGAGCGACAGCTTAATTAATTCACCAAATATTCAAATGCAAATCTTTTAAGAGAAGTGCACATTTAAAAGAAAAATCAGCCTAACATGAGAAGAAACTAACACCTACCATCACACATTTCCAAAATAAAACAAGAAAAGAAACAAAAACTGGTCCCAATGCTGGTAAAGTGTCATTATAAGTTAGTGTCCCTTTCATCAAGCTACAAGTAAGTGACTGCATGTGCAACAGGTAGAGTTTCATTTAACTGTTCATTTACGTTATGTTAAACAAACATTAAAACAGTGGCGCCTGGGGTATGAATGACAACTGTGTATCCGTTAGCTTGCTCGTACATTCACGTCTTCAAAAATCAATGTCATTCATTCTATACAAGAGAGTAATTTACACGTATACTATTGTACAGCACAGAAACCGAGAGGAAAAAGCCTCTCTGGGGAGGGAGGAGGGAGGGTACTCTGGGGAGGAGGAGGTGGAAGAGGAGGAGGTGGGCGGCTACTCACAGCCATAAATTTAATTTTCAAAACATGCAATCTACAATCAAACGATGCAATATTGATCATAAATGTTTTGGTACTTGATTCAGTCATTGGCATCAAAGCAAAACCAAGGAAACAATCGGGGTGGTTGCTGGGATCAATTTCAGACTGTGTACGAGAAATAAGCTCAAGGTCGTTTTTAGGGAAACAGGAGAAGAAGAAAAAACAACAACAGAAATTTGGGATGCTTTTGATGCACTGACGGGCAGCGGAGTGGTTCGGGAAGGTGTTTTTAAAGAGCTGTGAGGGTTGAAAGGGTGCAAGAGGCAGAAGCAGCTGGGTTGGATTATACAGACTGGTAGCCAGTGCGACTCTTCCTCCGGCCAATCAGGTAAGAGATAAGCACAAGGATGATTAGGAAGCTGAGTGCCACGCCCACTGCAATGGGCACCAAAAAGCTCAAATCAGAGTCCAGGAAGCATTCCTCAGCTGACAGACAGAGACAGACAGAAAGGAGACAGACAGCAGGTTAGTGTTTTAGTCGGCGGAAAACAGGGTTTTAGGATATTTACAGTCCACAAAGGTTTAGAGGAGGAGACAGAGCAGCAAGAAAGGAGCTCAACCTACAAAACGTGAATTCAAATAATGTAAATGTAGTGGAGATTAGAAGAAGAAAGCGGGTCATTAAATATTCCAAAGGCACGACAAGAAAATCACTCATGTGCTTAATACTTATTATTATTATTCCAGATGAACATTAATTTCAGGCAGAACGAACAAAGGAAATTCTTAAAAAAGGAGTAGTCCGACGTTAAGGGAAATATGCAATATGCTGAGTCAAACTTTATATTTAACACACAATCAGAGAGAGGAATCAACCTTCTCATCTAATCCTAAACAAGAACACAAATGAGCTTACTTCCCAAAATGTCGATTTTTTATGAAGACAGTCAGGCAGTCAGCAGCACTAAACACTACATAGAGACATCAATACAACACATGTTGGTCTGACAATTAGTCAAAAGGCAGCGAGGCAAAAAGGCAGCGATTTACTGACTGTCCTTCCTGTAGCATAAAAGATCGAAATAATGCAAGTTTAACTAGAAAGACTCGTAGCCGGTGGCCATGTTTCTCTTTCTCCCGATGAAATAGGCCAGCAGAACGATAAGAATGAGAACAAGCAGGGCAACTCCGACAGCTATGGGAACAAGGAAGCTCTCTGCATCAGCCTGGCATTCCACAGCTAGACGAGAGTGAAGAGAGCAGAGAGGTGAAAGTCTTATAGGCTGAACAGGAGAATTCAAATAAAAAACTCATGATTAATGAATGAAAGCCTGAAAAAGAAGAAGAAGTAGGTCGCCAACTGACTTAAAATAAGCACTGTATTACGTAAAGCACAGACAGAAACATGGAACCTTTTTATAGTTATACAAGAAGGAATAAACATTTACTCGAGTGTCCAGGGCAGAAACGCTTTTTTATTTTCCATAAATCTTAAAATACTAAAAAGCTCCACTTTAGTCTGACAACAATTTGAAATCCAATTTATCATAGCCAACAGCGTGAGAATGGAGATGAAATCAGCAGTCATTTGTATCTACATAACACACATTAATTGATCTTTAACACGATGGTCTTGCAGCACAAAATTCCCTTTAATGAACATGTGTGTGCAATGTTCTCAACAAGTGACGGGGAATTAAATAACGAGCCAAAATCATTCAAGTTACCAAAAAAAAGGTATCTTGCTTTAACAGTATTAGTGAGTTACTGAATGTACAAAAACAGAAAGCCATCACTGTGCAAGGCAGAAATGTCCAGAATATGAGCATGTTAGATGGTTTATTGAGAACAAGGGAGATTAACTTTGAGAAAATGTCACATATTTATACCAGTGCTGCAAAACCATCTTTATATTAAGGCAGAGTTCAAACAAAGCTGGAATAGACAAGAGCAAAATCAAAGCCAAAACCTGATTTATAGCCATTATTCATATACATGTACAACGTCCTGGGAAAGCACATTTTTATAAGCAACTTAAAAATGCTAATATTTCTAGTTCATTCTCATATTCAGCGTAGTTTACGGTCTGCGTTGCTTCAGTCCTGAAGAGCTGGAGCAACGCAGGCAGTACACAGCACTGTGCTAGAATTAAGCAACAATACACAGCTACTAACACGTGTCACATTGGCTTTCTATCATAGAAATACACATTCTGAGGCTGGCCTCCATCCCTGACACTGCAATCCTGCAACTTGCGCTAATTCCCTGACTTACAAGCTCCTGAAAACTTACTTTCAGCTTCTTACTACGAGTGGCAGGGTCCTACATGAAAACACAATCTTCCTGCAACAATTGTGTCTATTTCACATGAGATTATGTCACAAACCTCAGTGGATTTAACAATTTTGGAATACAAATCTGAAGATTGGTGTGGCACTGCGGAACAAATGTGATCCGACCAAACCCGCAAAGGTCAAATGACTTGATCCAGATACGCAGAGCTTCTAAAGAAATAGTCTGATGCTTTGGAAAATACACTTGTTTTTTGCTGAGTTAGAAGAGAAGATTGATACTCTGTACGGTAAATATGAAGCTATAGCCATGAGAGAGTTTCAGACAGAACCAGCTCTTCCACTCATTGTGCTAAGCTAACGGCCTCCTGGCTGTAGCTTCATATTTAACAGAAAAGACATGAGATTGGTGTCGATCTTCTTATCTAAATATCAGCGGTAAAGCATATAAACCTATTTCACTAACTACTGTAAAGTCTCGTAATTAAATACCTCCTGAACTTTAACTTTGATTGTTACTTGGTCAGTCGTGAATACTCAGTGTTCCAGAGAAATACTGAAATATTTCAAACAAAGGTTTCAGGAGCTTTAACGTCCCCTGGTGCAGCTGCAGCCCTCAGAGCTCAGGCCAAGCCCAGGCCTAACCACAGGTGAGAAAATGTGACAACAGTCTTAACATAGTACAAAAATGTAAAGAGCGCCTTAGTGCATTTATCTGTATATATCCTCGTTTCAGAAATGTCTGTGCTGAAAGTGAATATCTACACAATGAAATTCTCCCTTTTCTAAACCTAATGCCATAATGTAGGATGTGAGAATAAACAGCTGACCTTTATGAAGATATATTCTCTGACTGGAGCATGTGCAAATGTATGGGACCTTTTAAACGGCAGACATTTGGACACGGCGTACCAGGAAAAGCCCAGATTATTAACACTAACAATGGTTGCATCCCATGTAGTTTCGTCAGTTCCAGGACCTTTACACTTGAAAGTAAACGAACCATCATTAGTTCCACCTGGACTTTCACTGCTCGACATATGTCGAAATGTCTTCCATGAAAAAGGTCGAATGGTGTTTAAACAACAGACACTTTGATGATTGCAGCCACATAATCAGGACAACAATATCAATGTTTCTCCTGCTCTACAGGGGCAAACATGGGCTAAAGCTGATTTCCTTTGACAACCTAGACATTCATCCTTCTTAATGCATTTCTGGGAACAAAGCAAGAAAGCTGATTGGCCGTCTTTCTCTGATTTGTGGAGAAAAATGCTGTCGAAATGCTGTGAAAATGATCGTTCTCATGAGTCTTGATGTAAATCATTATGGAGATGAAAAGTCAAACCATAAAAAGGAAGTAAAAACTAAAAATGTGCACAAAGATAAAATAATAAAGAGCAAGTGCAGGATCCGACAGCAACAAACTTTAATTGTCCAAATTTTAATAAATGTTTTATGTATAGCTCCAAGAACTCAAAATAATGTATATTCAATGTTACCTTTCATGTGATTGTAATTACTTAAACAGAAAATAAAGAAGGTTGTGTGAATCTTGTACTTGCTCATTAACAAAAAACAACAAAGAAAAAAAAAAAAAAAGGAAAGACAAGACATCAACAGAAATTAAACACAAACACTGGGGGTAGACAAGTTTGGTCCTTGAGAAAAACACCAAACCCTCCATCTTTACATGGTTGTGACTCTTATTATTGTATCATTTAACCTTAGAGGCAAAAATGTGCATTTCATGTCTCATAACGACCAATAACTTTAAAACAAACAGTTACATCTGTTTTTCTGATGGCAGTCAGTTTTATAAAACTGCATCTCATGTTATTCCAGCAGAGACTTTAGTTTGACTCTTGAATTTTTTAAGTTATTTGCCAAATAAACATGAACATGAATCCCAAGGACCAGGCTTGGGAACCCCGTGATATTTCAGGATCGACTGCAAACTGGATTTAAAGGGTCTGATATCCAACATAAGTCTTTCTTCGACCAATCACGTAAGCGACCACTACAATGAGAATCAAGCCAGCCAGAGCAGCGCCAACAATGATTGGGATTAAGATGCTGGTGTCATCCAATGAACATTCATGGGCTGCAGATAAAGAAAGAGTGAGTCAACAGGTGGAGCGGTGATTTCCTGATTAACAAGAGACACGACTGACGCAGCACTTCAGCTTATTTACCATCTTTAACACTTGAGCTGTCCAACTTACTGCCAAAATACTCAAACACTTAATACAATTAATTAAAAGCTGTTACATGAATGAATGTCTTTGGCATGACAGATGACAGTAGATACATTTTAAACATATTTTTTTATATTTAGAGATTCTGTAGAAGGTAATTCGGATGTGTTTGACCTGACTCCCATTTCAGGAGCCTAAAATGGACTAGGCTCATTTTAAGTTAGTTAATAAGTTAAAGCAGCACCAGTTACGACTGAGGCTGAGTGGTGGAAGCATGCGATTTCTTTTCTAGCTCTAAAAATAATCAGGTCAGTGCTTCCGATCGCTGTATAATTGTACAAATTACTAAACCGGGTACTTTACTACAGGGTCTGCTGATTGTTCAATGTGCAACAGGCAGGTGTCACTCAGTTTGCTTTACTTAATAAACACAATGTAGTGTTTTTATGTTTTCCTGAGGCAAGAGAGCTCAAACTGTGTTAAGGTGTTTGAGCTCCTCCTGGCATAAATATGAAAACAAAGAAATCTTGAGCTGGACACCTGATTAAACCAAAATGTGATAGTGTCTTATAGTGATTCCCAATAGTACAAAATTACAATTAAACAAATAAATTAAACTTAAATGTGCCTGTTTATACTGTTACATAAACAGAAACATTTAGTGCATAATCATTTTAAACTTTAATGTTTTTTTTAACGGAGATACCGTCTGCACTCATTTTCAAACGAGCCGTAGTTCTGGTACAAACTAATAAAGCGAATCCATTTGGTTGATTTAAACAGAACAAAAACCGTCTTCCACTTTACAACCTCTACAGTCATCAGCTGTAACATCGACATTTCCTTCAGACTCCATATATGAAACAGTTTGGTCATGGCCCGGTCGGCACATTAAAGGAGAACTTACCTGTACTGAAAACACCCTTCTTTACTCCGAAGGGCTGTACTTGAAGGTCGAAGGTGTAGATGGTGAGCTGGCCGGTGATGGTGTAGTTCTGCTCCTTGTTACACATGTAGGAACTGCTGACAGGCGCCTCCCACAGACTCAGGTTGGTGTTGGCCTCAGAAAACGCCACACCTTGGGAAACAAAACTCAACATTAGCTCGCTTCTCAGTGTGGCGCCGGGTCTATGCGGGTAGATATGATTCTTCTCATTACCAGAACTTGTCTTTCCAGTGATGTTCAGAGCGTGAAGGCGGAATTTCTTTGTGTCCTGTTAGACGGAAAGTACAAGATCAGAAAATACAGCTCTCTCAATTAGGCTAAAAGCATAATACAGACTAAGCATCCAGGACTTCCAGGATACAAACATTTCGCTTTTCTTTTTTCAGGGTCGAGTGATACTGTCAGTGAACAGTTCGTTGCATCCTATTCTGTCTATTTCTGTGAAGTTATATAACGTTAGGAACCATGTTACAGTATTTATTATCCCTCTAATTCAGTGATTCCCAACTGGTTGAATGAAACAATACCAAAGACAGGAAGATAGTGGTGAATAGAAATTATAATATGATTTAAAATAATGATTAGGCTTGCCAATAAAAAATATTTTCATTATTAATTAATCTGCGTATCTGAGTATTTCTCTTTTTTTTTTTACAAATTACTGGAAATTTCCATCACAATGTTTCTTTATCCCAACTTGATGTCATCAAATGTCTCATTTTATCTGACCAACAGTCCAAAAGCACCAAATATTCTATTTACTGTGATACAAGTCCAGGAAAAGTCCCCCACATCTGAGACCCTTATTGGCTCAGATTGGTTGTTTTCGGTCAGGTGGGTTCTTGCTAATGCCATTGGGAGCACTAGGAGGAGCCAGTGGAACCAAATTCTTTTTCTCATGTACTGCTGTCAAGATATAGTTCAGCAAATATTATAATTATATAATATAAAAAGAGTTATTTTTATAAATGTCACCTACTGCGGCTTTGAGAAGATGATACTGTAAAATATTTGGATTTTGAGTTTGAAAATGTACTAAGATGATTTACTGATAATTAAAGATTATAGAAGTAGTCTAAATATTTTGTCACACTAACCAGTACATCCGGCTCAAAAGGTTGGGAACCACTGATCTATAATTGACAACTTTGATTTTATAATGGCCAAAATGTTTTAGACATTTTAAAAAATGACAGAAAAATGTATATTGTGCAGGTTTGGACCGGTAAATTTAAGACTTTTTAAAACCTTAATTAACACAATTTAATGATCTATTTTACGTCCATACTGGCAAAAAGGAACGGAGGAAAATTGGTATCGGTTCCATGCTGGTTTCGTTTTGTATTTGCTACAGCACGATCAATAAAACCTTTTCCCAAAAACAACTCTATATGAGTAACATTAACTTCATTAATCCAGTCAATTTTTAAGACCTGTCAAAATCACATTTAAGACATTTTAAGGTCTAAAA